TTCCTCTACTTGCAACAGACACCCTGTGAGGTAGGTGGGGCTGAGAGAGCTCTCTCAAGGAGTACTCTTGGGAGAGCGGCTCTGAGAGAGAACTTGTGACTGACCCAAGGTCACCCAGCTGGCTGCATGTGGAGGAGTGGGGAATCAAACCCGGTTCCCCCAGAGTAGAGTCCCGCCTCTCTTAACTGGCTCTCTGTGCTGCCCTGAATACCTTGGAGGAAGGGTGGGATAAAAAAGAAATATGCTAGATAGATAGCTCTCTTCCAGCTGTAACAAAACCGTAGAGAGCTGCGGATACTCAAGCTTTTTATGTTCCTGAGGATCGCCTGGTTTGGAATCCAAACTCTGCGTTTCTTCCATTTAGGATCTGTGTTCACTGTCAGTGTGCCAACAGTTTCAGGCTGCATAGAAAAGCAAGATCTGAGTCCAGGGGCACCTCAGGGACCAATAAGATTTCCAGGGTGGAAGCTTTGGAGACTCAACGCTCCCTTCATTGGATACAGAAGTGGAGACTGGATTTCTACCCCGCCCTTCACTACCCGAAGGAATCTCGGAGCGGCTTACAATCTCCTTTCCCTTCCCCTCCCCACAACAGACACCCTGTGAGCACGGCCGGCCCGAGGGGTTTCTGCGCCCTAGGCCAGGCTGCCTCGTGGCGCCCCCCTCAGATGCCAACCTCCCGGAGGGGCTTGCAGACCTCCCAGCTGGGTCCCAGCAGCAGGGCCAGTCAAGAGAGGGCCGCCTCCTGCCCGCCCACCCACCCAGGGGGCCTTTCTGAGCCAGAACCGCCGCTTGGCCCAAGCCCTTCCTGCGGTCCCCGGCCAGGAAGCGGCTCGGCGCCGATTGGCAGTGGGCGCCACCAATGGTGCTGGGCGGGCCTCCCTCCCTCCCTCCACAGGGACCCGCCCACCGGAAGCAGGAGAGTTGACCTGGGCCTCCAAAAACCCTCCCCCGACCCTCATGGGCCGCTCCCTCCCCCAGCACAGTCGCACCAGGGCGAACTAGCCTCTGCGTGCATGCAGAGTGCCTTTCCTCTCTCCACGCCACCGCTTACCTGCCTCGGAGAAGCGGAAGGTGCGCAGGAAGGCTAGGCACTCGCTCAGGCCAGCGGCGAGGGCGAAGCCGCCCTGGAAGGGGCAGCGGCAGAAGAGCTCGAACTCAGCCGGCTCGGTCAGCAGCGCCAGCGAGCCCCGCAAGCATCCCGCCACCAGCGGCCCCATCCCTGTCCGCTTCAACTTGCTCAACCCGGGGCACTTTTGCACGTGGGAAGGGGGTGGGCGGGCTCCGGAGGCTCCACACCCCCTTCCGGGCAGTTGACTGAGCGCTCCCCAGGAGCTGGCACGGGCGCATGGTGGCCAGCGCAGAGCGGCATGTGCTCTGCTGCCACGCTGCGGCGGCAGCAAAAGGCACAGTGGGCAGCTTTGGGCAGGGGGGGCTTTTGGCGGGAGGGGAGACAGGAGAATTGGCGCCCTGCTAGTATCTCCGCCCTAGGCGAGATACTAGCAGGCCTAGTGATAGGGCCGGCCCTGCCTGTGAGGTAGGTGGGGCTGAGAGAGCTCTTTCGAGAACTGCCCTTGAGAGAACAGCTCTGAAAGAACTTATGACTGACCCAAGGTCACACCAGCAGCTGCGTGTGGAGGAGTGGGGAATCAAACCCGGTTCTCCAGATTAGAGTCCACCACTCGTAAACACTACACCAAACTGGCTCTCATGCACATCAGTGTGCAAGATCACAGCATTCGCATCTCCAGGGTATGGGAGATGCAAAAGTTCTAGGAAGAGGACCACGAAAGACTTGGTTTTCCTTCGTACCATCAGGGAAAAACGATCCTGGTGTTCAGAAGAGCGACTTAACTCTCCACTCACTCCTGAAGGGACCCTTCACAGGGTGACCCTGGTAAATTGTGGAGCAGGTATCAAAATGACGGGGAGATATTTGTCCCCAAATACTAAAGGGGCATCCCCAGAGAGCTGGATCAGCACATGTCTGTATTTACTGCGGCATGCCTACAATGCAGAAGTCTCTCTACATTTTTCTGTCTCACCGAATGCGATAGCCCCGGTCACGCCCCCCTGGAGGTCCTTACGGGGAAGGGCGGGGTAAAAACACGACACATGACTATTGCCCCATCCAAAGCTTTCTCAAAGGCATTTCCGAGGAAAGACAGCTTTCTGAGCATCAGGCCCGCAAGCATGATGCGCCCAACACCGTGTGCAATCTGTACTCCTCCCTTTGGCCCAGAGACCAATGCATATGGGCCTTTTAGGACAAAGAGGAAGAGGAAGAGGAAGAGGAAGAGGAAGAGGAAGAGGAAGAGGAAGAGGAAGAGGAAGAGGAAGAGGAAGAGGAAGAGGAAGAGGAAGAGGAAGAGGAAGAGGAAGAGGAAGAGGAAGAGGAAGAGGAAGAGGAAGAGGAAGAGGAAGAGGAAGAGGAAGAGGAAGAGGAAGAAAAGGAAGAGGAAGAAGAGATTGGATTTATGCCCTTCCCTTCACTCAAAGTCTAAAAACAGCTTACAAACTCCTTCCCCTCCCCCTCCCCCTCCCCACAACAGACACCCTGTGAGGTAGGTGGGGCTGAGAGAGCTCTGAGAGAACTGCTCTTGTCAGAACTATGGCTTGCCCGAGGTCATCCAGCAGCTTCAGGTGGAGGAATGGGGAACCAAACCCGGTTCCGCGCACTTAACCACTACATCAAACTACCAGGGCAATCCTAAACAGATTTATACCCTTCTAAGGCCACTGATTTCAACGGATTTAGAAGGGTATAACCCTGTTTAGGATCGCACAGTAAAGTAACTTCGCATGCAAATGAATGCTTCTTCCTGGACAACACATTTCTTTGATGACCTATCGATAGCCATGCACACCTGCAAACGTCACACCGCACGAAAACTGCAGCACTGCCTCTAAGGCTGACATTACACGGTTTTGGAAAGCGCAGCTGGACACAGTCTTACCAAAATCGACCCCCTTGTATGGAAACAAGGGTGGAAAAATGCATATGCCATCACGCGCAAAACTTGCACAAGTGTCTCTTTTGTTGCATAAATGTGTCTGGTGGCAACGGCTCACAGCCACTGTGTCAAAATAGACCCTTGCGTCATTTTCCCACACACTGTGCACATTCCCCCCCCCCCCTAATCTGTATAAAAGTGGGAGAAATGTCATTTGTGAAAGGCTCCCTTTCTTCTAAGGGAACTTAGTTAGGGCAGGCATTCCAAAAGGTGGAAGGCAGGGCCCGGATGAGGAATCGGTAGATTTCCAACTCAGATCAAAGCTGCCACCACTCAGAGGATGCCTGCGGGGCAAAGTCAGGACTGCAGGATTTAAATTAATCCTGATTTAATTCCCCAGCTGCAAACTGGGAAATAATAATAAATTATTATTATTATTTATTCAACTTATGAATCACCCACCCTGCTAGCAGGCTCTAGGCGATTTACAACCTTAAAAGCAATTAAAAATACAATCAGTGTCAAAGTATCACAGTAAACCAATAAATTAACCCATCCAAGATGGAGATATGATCCCTTTTGCCAGCTACACTGCTGTCTATCCGATTCCTACCTCAAATCAGCCAGACAACCATCAGGTTGAGTTTAAGGTAAGCCTGGATCATCTCAGCCCCCATATTCTGGCCCACTTTACAGGGCTGTTGTTGTTAAGGATTAAAAAAATACGTACCTACTGTGGCAAACGGGATTCCTAGGTGTGCTACCTAGCAGCAAGTGGATACAGATGACAGGTAAATGGAGGGAAAGAAAGGAGAACATGTCTCACCTCTAAATTTGGGGGGCGATTTAAAGGGAGTGAAATTCTGGTTTACTTTTCCTGGCCTGCTGCACTATGCAATCATTTCGATCTGCAGTATAAACTGGAATTCCCTGAACTCGATAAAGGGGTTCCTTTGAAAAAGAGACTCCTTTCGTCTTCGGAACGGAATAAAAAGTTGCATCTAGACAGACAACTGAATGAGAGTGAAAAGCCCAAACTGCAATAAGAGTAGCAGCACAGACAGATCTCCAGGTTACAATCTGGCCACCTGAACGGTCCAAAAACATCTCCCAGGGCCAAAAGCAACTGATCGGATGACCCCTCTTGACTGGACACTCGGCTCTCTTTCCTGTTCCTCGTCCCACCCAAGCTTCCTGGTCCAATCTCTTTAGGCTTGCCTAAATCCCGTGTAAGAAAATACTGACTTCCTGGCTTTGCCAAAGGAGCACCCCTTTCCCTCGCAGGCAGAAAAGGGGACTTTTCCTGAGGAAGGGAGGGGGGTTCTTGGTGGGGTGGGGGGATACTCAGCATCCCAGGTCTCAGTGGGAATTCACACAGCACTGACACATATGCTGGGACTGGGAAGAGTAGAATAGATAGATAGATAGATAGATAGATAGATAGATAGATAGATAGATAGATAGAGTCCGGCGGCACCTTTAAGACCAACAAAGTTTTATTCAAGGTCTGAAGTTTCCTGTGCATGCACACTTTTTCAAAAAAAAATTTAAACTTGAAAAAGTGTGCATGCACTAGATAGATAGATAATAGATAGACAGACAAGATAGATTAGACAAGGGGAGACAGACAGACACTATCAGCACAATCCTGAAAACACTTTCCTGGGAGTAAGTGTCCCATTGGGCAGACTTTGGTAGAATTCTGAGTAGACCAGCTGAGGATCGCACCGCTAGGCTGCAATGCTAAGCACTCTCATGGGAGGAAGCCCCACTGAATACAAGGGGACTTACTTCTGAGTAGACCGGTTTAGGATTGCTCCCCCCGGGAGGCTGCAATCCTAAGGGCCCTTTCCCGGGATCAAACCCCCAAGGCCAACGCGGGGCTTATTCCCGAGGAGACGCACTTCGCGCCGCTCCCCTCGACTCCCTTCCCGGGAGAGCCCCAAAAACGCCGGCGTGAGGCCGAGGTGCGACGTTCCGGAACAACAGGCGCTCGGGCGCCGGTCCCAAATCCCTGCTTGGGCTTCCATCTCTCGCCCAACTCACCTTGTCATCCCGCGACGGATCTGGATCTTTCCCTCCCGAGCTCACGCCGGCGACGCCTCCCGGGCCATGGCTCGCAAGTCTTCCCCGCTGCCGACCTCGGGGGCCGGGATCTCCCCCCACCCCCCGACTCCGACCTGGCCCCTGGCCCCGACTCGGTGCGCGCGGTCCGCTCCCCACCGCACCCCGCCGGGGGGGCCCTTTCCCTTGCAAGGCACCGCTCTGGCGCCTCTGGTCCCCCGCAGCCCAGGAGCAGGAAGCCGGGAGGAGTGGGGAGGGGGGTGGGCAGCCGCAGGGCCCCGATCCTCCTGGCAGGTGTCACCGCAGCGCCTCCCGAACGCCTTCTGCAAGGTCTCGCTCAGCCCTCTTTGCAGAAAAAGAAACTTTCTCTGCCTCCCCTCTGGGCGAGAAGTCAGCCGGCACGGCGGCGCAGGCGCCATGTGATGTGACCGAGAGCCCACCCCCTTCGTGTCGGCGGATCGAGGGCCCCTCCCCTCCATGCAAAAGCCCCCCCCCCCAATGCACGGCGATGGTGTGCGCACACACCCCGCAGCCAGTGTTCCCTCTAAGCTGAGTGAGTGTGAGCTAGCTCACCGTTTTTTAGCCTCCAGCTCACAGATTTTTGTCCTAGCTCAGGAAGGAGGGCTCCAGAGCAAACTAATTTATGCAGCAGCCAAATCGCTCGCTCACAACTTTCATGCCAGCAGCTCACAAAGTAGAATTGTTGCTCACAAGACTCCACAGCTTAGAGGGAACACTGCCCCACACCCCCTTGCAGAAGCGGTGCTTAGCCGGGCGCCTCTTGCAGAAACTCCACGGGCGCCAGATCTCACGGAGAAGGCAAGATCTGTCATTTAAAAGGTATACGGCGCCCCCCCCCCAAAAAAAGCAAGGGGCAATCCCCCCTCTGGGTTCCCCGTCCCCTCCCCGCGTTGCGTGCAGTGTTCCCTCTAAGCTGAGTTAGTGTGAGCTAGCTCACAGTTTTTTTAGCCTCCTGCTCACAATTTTTTTTTGCCTTAGCTCAGGAAGGACGGCTCCAGGAGTAAACTCATTTATGCGGTAGCCAAATCGCTCGCTCACAACTTTAATGCCGGTAGCTCACAAAGTACAATGTTTGCTGACAAGACTCCAAGACTTAGAGGGAGGGCTGGCTGTGTGTATTCCCGGCCCCCTGCTGGGTCATTGCTGGGGACTGCTACAACGCCTTCACGCCTATGGAGGCCTGAACACCCACAGGCGAAGCGGAAATATTCAGAAAGATCCGGGGAGGGCGGCTGGGGTGGGAACGAAGGGCCTTTGGAAAGCATTGGCTGTGGTGGCCCGGTGAGAGAGCGTCTGCTTTGCAGGTGGAAGGTGTCAGGTTCAAATCCTCCCGTTAAAAAAATAGGTGAGGGCGAAAGAAAGATCTTCCCATGAAATCATGGAGAACTGCTGCCGGATAGAATAGTCCCGACTGAGTCCAGTGGTTTGATTCAATACAAGTTTTGAGTCCAGCAGCACCTTTAAGACCAACAAAAGTTTATTGAAGGTATGAGCTTCCTTGTGCATGCACACTTCCTCAGATACAGTGAACTGGAAGTTAACAGTTTATATATATATAGGCAGATGACAGGTGAACAGCAAATGAGCATTCAGCTTAATGAAGATGGTTTGCAGGCTGCTGAAAGCTCATGCCTTGAATAAGCTTTTGTTGGTCTTAAAGATGCCACCGGACTCAAAACCTGTTCCACTGCTTCAGACCAACACGCTGCCCACCTGGATCTGATTCAAGACAATTCTACGTGGCTAAGAGTGTCGGACTAATATCTGGGAGTCTGGGTTCGAATCCCCCAATCATCAAGCACCTCATTGGGTGACCTTGGGTCAGTCGTATACTCTCAACATAACCTACCTCACAGGGTTGTTGTGAGAATAGAATGGAGGACAGGAGGAGGATGTAAGCCGCTTTGGGTCCCTGTTGGGGGAAAAAGAGGGGTATAGATAATTAAATTAAAAATAAATTGGGGGCAGTTGTGGCTGAGGGGTGGAGCATCTTCTTGGCGTGCAGAAGGTCCCAGGTTCAGTTCCCTGCATCTCCAGTGGAAAAGTGATGGGGAAAGCCATGGCCAGTCTAGGTAAACCTTGATAGACCAGTGGTCTGATTCAGTACAAGGCAGCTACCTGTGCTTTCCTTAAGAGGAGGGACTGAGAGTATAGAGAGGAACTCTCAGGGTGGGGCAGGTGATGCTCCATATTCTTGGGGCTTGGGGGGGGGTCAACAGTGGGAGAGGCTTCTGGAGTTCTGGCCCCACTGGTGGACCTCCTGATGGCACCTGGTATTTCTGGCCACTGTGTGACACAGAGTGTTGGACTGGATGGGCCATTGGCCTGATCCAACATCGGCTTCTCTTATGTTCTTATGCTTTGCATGCAGAAGGTGCACAGGAACACCCATGAAGCCACCGCATACTGAGTCAGATCACTGGTCCATTGAGGTCAGTATTGTCTACTCCGACCGACCGCGGCTCTCCAAGGTCTCAAGCAGAGATCTTTCACATCACCTACTGGCACTGCCTATTCCTTTTAACTAGAGATGCTGGGGATTGAACCTGGGACTTTCTGCATGCCAAGCACATGTTCTCCCGATGAGCCACAGACCCTCCACCAAAAGCATGGAATGAACGCATGAAGCTGCCTTATACTGAATCAGACCATCGGTCCATCAAGGTCAGTATCATCTACCCAAACTGGCAGCAGCTCTCCAGGGTCTCAGGCGGAGGTTTTTCACATCACCTCTTGCTCTGGTCCTTTCTACTGGAGACGCCGGGGACTGAACCTGGGACCTTCTGCACGCCAAGCAGAGGCTCTTCCACTGAGCCGTAGCCCCTCCCCTGTGTCAAAGCAGGTGCTGTGAAAGATCTGACCTTTGGAGGTCCACTGCCAGTTGATTGGCCAAGGGTCTGGTTCTATATAAGGGTGAGAGGATTTCCACGTGGCCCTTGAAAAATGCATGCAAGTACTGAGAGATGAGGTCCTAGAAATGGCGTTGCGGTCCAGAAAAGAAGAGAAGAAAAGAAGAGATTGGATTTATACCCTGCCCTTCACTACTCGAAGGAGTCTCAGAGCGGCTTACAATCTCCTTTCCCTCCCCACAAGAGACACCCTGTGAGGTAGGTGGGGCTGGGAGAGCTCTTTCGAGGACTGCTCTTGAGAGACCAGCTATGTTAAATACTGGGTTCAAGACGCATTGCAGTGACACAGCTCTACTTTATTAAGTGATTTCAGGAACAAGACTAAAACCCCAGGGCAACAGCCCTGTTTAAGTAGTATGCAAAAACCACACCCAAACACACCCCACTCCCTACGATAGGCTCTTTAAATAACACTACTTCCCCATTGGTCACCTCCAGAGTCCTGGTGGGCTATTGTTCTGGATCTCCAAGCTCAGCCAGTCTCTGGTAGAAACAGTCCTGGAATGTTCCAGCCCTAATACATAACAAACTGAGAGAGCTTGTGACTGACCAAGGTCACACCAGCAGCTGCATGTGGAGGAGTGGGGAATCATACCCGGTTCTCCCAAATTAGAGCCTGCGCTCCTAACTCTCAACACCAAAACAGTTTGCCTAGTGTTTTGTCTCCTGCACTTGATAGCAACAAACTCCTGGAGAGCCAGTTGGGTGTAGTGGTTAAGTGCGCAGACTCTAATCTGGGAGAACCGGGTTTGAGTCCCCACTCCTCCACTTGCACCTGCTGATGTGACCTTGGGTCAGTCACAAGCTCTGGCACAGCTGTCCTAGAAAAAGAGCAGTTTGTGTCAGAGTTCTCTCAGCCCCACCCACCTCACAGGGCGTCTGTTGTGGGGAGGGGAAGGGAAAGGAGTTTGTAAGCCGCTCTGAGACTCCAAGTGAAGGGCGGGGTATAAATCCAATCTCTTCTTCTTCTTCTTCTTCCTGGGAGCAAGATGGGGATTTAAACCTAAAGTTCTTCAACACTTAAGCACAATACTTCAGATACATACAGAAGGCAGAACAGGAACAGCTCCTGGCTGGTGTATATTTATTTGCCTTCTTGGGGACATCTCAGTTTCCTTGCTTCCTTTTTATCCTAACAACAGCCCTTTGAGATAGGTCTGGCTGAACGTTAGTGACTGGCCCATGGTCACCCAGCAAGGTTCCCAGGCAGAGCTGGGATGTGAACCTGGCTGTCTCAGAGCCTAGTCCCAAACTCTAACCACTACACCATGCTGGCTTTTTATCATGGTGGCAGCAGCCATACCCACTAGGGACTGTCCATCAATTAAAAAACGTGTTAGCTGCTGAACCGTCTTGATTCTGAGAGATCTGTGAACTGATTGATTGATTGATTGATTAAATGTGCCTCAAACCTCAAACAAGACCTGGATCACCCAGGCTAGCCCAATCCCACCAGATCTCGGAAGCTAAGCAGGGTCAGCCTTGGCTAGTATTTGGAAGGTCAACCTCCAAGGAATACCAGGGGCGTGACGGAGAGGCAGGCAATAGCAGACCACCTCCGAAACATCTCTTGCCTTAAAAACAGGTCTAGCTCGCCAGCTAGTGATGCATAATGCTAAAAGAGCTTGAACTTGTGGCTGCCAGACAATCTTAGGATCTCCTGGATATGCTACACACACTGCCATACGATAATAATTATTGTTATAGCTTCCCAAGGGAAGTGGGAAATCAAGGGCAGTTCTTTAAACAAAAGCTTCTACTGTGGGTTAGAAAGGAAATCCTTCCAGAAATATTTCCCTTTCTATACCACATCACACAGTGCCAGAAACACAGTGGATTAAAAAAATAAATACACATGCTCTTGGAACTTCTGCCCTTTGATTCTGACTTGTTCCTAATGAATCAATGCAAGCTTTAGATGATGCAATCCAGTAACTGGTTGTTATTTTTGGTATAATCGTTATTTAGTTGTTTAGTTGTTAGTCCTGTTTTTATCGGATGCTTATTTTATTAGAAACTCTCTGAATGGAAAGGTGGGATATAAGTATTTTTTAAAATAATGTGTCAGATAATAAATAGAACTTGTAGCTTTGTCACAGACTGAACGTTTACTTCTGTTATATCCAGCCACAAGTACATATTTGATGCAATAAGATCTGGAGGGGAAGGACAGCAAAACTCTTTGGGTTTGGAATTGCCAGCTCGGAATTGCAGATGCCAAGAGATAATGAAAAAGCAAGGTCGTCTCTTTCACTGGGCCAATTCCTGGCATTTTCTGTTCCCCGTCAGCCAAAAACATAAGCCAGTTTTCAGGGCTGCGGAGAGCCAGTTTTGCTTCAGATAAAATATTGTAGTTATCTGAGACAGCTTAATCGCAAAAAAAGACGAACGCCTTCCAAATACCTCTTGGAGCGACCCCCAGAATCT